CCGACAGGAGACGTGGAACGCCATCCTCGCTGACGTCTCTGACCACGCGGCCATCGCAAAGGAGTACGCGCTCCGCTACGGAGGCATCGCCGCGCGCCAGCTGCACGCCGCCGCGAGGGCCGCGTACGAAAAGGCGAGAGAGCTGGCCGGCGGCGGCGGCGCGTCGCCGCCCCGCCGCACCACGCGTGCCACCGGCGGCAGCTCGCGCGCGCGCGTGTCCGAGTCGATGACCGCCCCGCTCGCCTCGTCGGCCGCCCACATGGGGAGCCTGACCGACGGCGCGCTGCCCGCGCTCGCCGAGCCGCACGAGGGCGGCGGCGTGCGCGTGCTCGCGGGCGGCGGCGGCGCGGCGGCCACTTTTGCCCCGCCCGAGCCGGCGGAGGCTGGCGGCGACGGCGCCGTCGCGCCGCTCATCGCCGCGCCGCTCCCCGCCTCCTCACCCGCGATGGGCGGGCCGCTGAGCGGGGGGGGCGTCGTGGCTGCGACCACTGCGCCGCTCTCGTTTGGCGGCGAGCCGCTGCAGGTCGCGAGCATCGACGCGCCGACCGACGACAACCTCTTTGCGGAGCCCGTGCTAACGGAGCCGCTCTCGCTCAACGGAGGAGACTCAACAGGCGAGCCGCTGCAGGTGGCGTCCGTCGTGCCGCTGCCGCCCGGCGCGGGGGGCGGCGACAACTAGTCGGTGGCCCGATGCCACCGTAGCTGTACGCACAGGCAAACTAGTGGGGACGACCTCAAGGCGACGGTCCCGTGGTCGCCGTCATGGGTGGGCATGGCCGCATGGGTTGAAGCGCGTATTAGTGCCGGAGGGCTTCATCATATGTGTGTACAAACGCCGTGACGCGTGAGGATTGGCGATAGTTGCGTTCTTGTGGTTGATGAGAAGTGTTTATGCCACAGGGTCCCTACCCACCCAAAGAGCCGGAACCCAAACCGCAAGAACGATATGGTGAGAGATTCCCTCAGCTGCTCCGACGCGGCCGTGCTAGCGGCTGAGCGTGGCGAGGAGGAGGCGGTGCTGGCGTGGCTCGAGGGCGGCGGGCGGGCCGACGCGACGTGCGAGAGAGACGACGTGAGCGGCATCACGCTGCTGATGGGCGCCGCCCGCTACGGCCACGAGCAGGTGGTCGAGCTGCTGATTCGGCGCGGGGCTGACGTCAACCTGCAGAGCAGCGTCGGCGACACCGCGCTGATGGGCGCCGCCGTGTACGGCCACGAGCGGGTGGTCGCGCTGCTGCTGCGGCACAGGGCGAAGATCAACCAGCGGAACAGCCACGGCAGCACCGCGCTGATGCTCGCCGCTGCCCGACGCCACGAGCGGGTGGTCGACTTGCTGATTCGGCGCGGCGCTGAGGTCAACCTGCAGGCCAGCGACGGCCGCACCGCGCTGATGTGGGCCGCAATCGGAGGCCACGAGCGGGGGGTCGACTTGCTGATTCGGCGCGGCGCTGAGGTCAACCTGCAGGACAGCGACGACAGCACCGCGCTGATGCACGCCGCCGGCAACGGCCACGAGCGGGTGGTCGACTCGCTGATACGACGCGGCGCTGAGGTTAACCTGCAGAGCAGCAATGGCCTCACCGCGCTGATGGGCGCCGCCCTCCTCAACCACCCCGCCGTCGTGCGGCGATTGCTGCAGGCGGGCGCAGACGCGGCGCCCACTGTCAACGGCAAGACGGCGCTGCAGATGGCCAAGGCGAAGGGCCACGCCGAGTGCGTCGAGGTTTTGGCTGAGGCGGCGGCGGCTGCAGACGGCCGGGCAGGGGCCGGCGGCGCCTCCTCGGGCGCGGCAGCGGCAGCTGTGGACGCGCCGCTGCTCGGCCAGCGCGTCGTGCGCGGCGGCCTCTCTGCCCGCCCCGAGCTGAACGGGCAGCGGGGCGTGGCGCGGAGCTTCGAGGGCGGGCGGTACGCTGTGGCGCTCGAGGGCGGCGGCGAGAGCGTGCGGGTGCGGCCGGGTAATCTGTCGCTGGCTGCGGCCGAGCAGGCGCCGAGCGGTGCCGCGGCAGTCTCCGATGATGTCGTGACAGCGGCTGAGCGAGGCGAGGAGGAGGCGGTGCTGGCGTGGCTCGAGGGCGGCGGGCGGGTCAACGCGACGTACGAGAGAGGCGAGACTAGCGGCCTCACCCTGCTGATGGGCGCCGCCAACAACGGCCACGAGCGGTTGGTCGAGCTGCTGCTGCAGCGCGGCGCGGAGGTCAACCTGCAGGACAGCGGGGGCGAAACCGCGCTGATGCTCGCCGCCTACAACGGCCACGAGCGGGTGGTCGAGTTGCTGCTACGGCACGGCGCTGAGATCAACATGCAGAGCTGCGTCGGCAACACCGCCCTGATGACCGCCGCCGTGCGCGGCCATGAGCGGGTGGTCGAGTTGCTGCTGCAGCACGGCGCGGAGATCAACCTGCAGAGCAACAACGGCGCCACCGCGCTGATGGCCGCCGTTCGCGACCGCGAGCAGTTGGTCGAGTTGCTGCTGCGGCACGGCGCGGAGGTCAACCTGCAGAGCAGCAACGGCTCCACCGCGCTGATGGGCGCCGTCTTCTTCAACCAACCCGCCGTCGTGCGGCGCTTGCTGCGGGCGGGCGCAGACGCGGCGCCCACTGTCAACGGCAAGACGGCGCTGCAGATGGCCAAGGCGAAGAGCCACGCCGAGTGCGTCAAGGTCTTAGCTGAGGCGGAGGCGGCTGCAGACGGCCGGGCAGGGGCCGGCGTTTCCTCGGGCGCGGCAGCGGCAGCGGTGGACGCACCGCTGCTCGGACATCGAGTCGTGCTCGGCGGGCTCTCGGCCCGCCCCGAGCTGAACGGGCAGCGGGGCGAGGCGCAGAGCTTCGAGGGCGGGCGGTACGCGGTGGCGCTCGAGGGCGGCGGCGAGAGCGTGCGGGTGCGGCCGGGTAATCTGTCGCCGGCTGCGGCGGAGTGGGCGCCGAGCGGTGGCGTGGCAGTCTCCGACGAGGTCGTGGCAGCGGCTGGGCGAGGCGACGAGGCAGCGGTGCTGGCGTGGCTCGAGGGCGGCGGGCGGGCCGACGCGACGTACGAGAGAGGCGGCTTGAGCGGCCTCACGCTGCTGATGACCGCCGCCCACCAAGGCCACGAGCGGGTGGTCGAGCTGCTGCTGCGGCGTGGGGCTGACGTCAACCTGCAGAACAGCATCGGCTCCACCGCGCTGATGGGCGCCGCCGGCCAAGGCCACGAGCAGGTGGTCGACCTGCT